GGAATTTTAAATAATTACGAAGCAACAGGTATTTGCGCAATGGTAATTAAGCATATTACCTTGAAAAATATTGCTGCCGTATTTCTGATATAGATTTTTGCAAATTTCTCAGTTTTTAATAACAATCAATTTCGTTTACTAGTTTTTCTGAACTCCTATAACACCGCCAGACAACACCCCCAGAGGAATGACGCCAATTTTGAAACACCCTGTATTACACAAGCGTGCCTGTACGATTGTTAAAATTATTAATCTAAATTTATTTTAAATTAAGTTCGCGATTTTAGATGACAAGCTTGCCAGTGGCGGCGTCAGGCGCTCAACATAATTTGGACATATTATGTTCAATAAATATGGGCAATAGTTAGTAAGCCGGGCAGACATTATGGCGTATTTTCTACCAGAGATGTTTCACATAATTGCTATTACACAGTCACATCAAATCAAGTCATAGACAATTGGTAGAAACGGCGCTTTCCTTCTGAATTAAGCTTCTAAATCGTGGACGAATTACGCAAATTGCAAAGCTGAAATAATGGTAAATTTCTGGGACTGTCGCACTAATTACCTACAATCATATTGACATCGCGTGCGTCATCTAGAAGCTTCAGCTGTTTGCATTTCCATGGACAGTTAGAGAGAGAGTGCCATTTAACAAGAGTGGAAATTGTAAGGTTTAGTAGCAATTTGCGTTTCGAGTGGAACGAGCGAAATTTTTATTCCAAACTTAAGTGGGTGGCAGTTTGGAAATTGAAAGCCAAGATGCTAAAATGCAAACGTAAAATGGAAACGGTTTGAATCTAATTAAACCCTTTGCAAAGGGTCACTCCCCACAAATTCTAGTTACGACATGACAATAAGCGGCCATATCTTGCCTCTGGTCACCACTAGTGAGTGGGTGGGCTACTAAAGTGATATCAAGTGGCTGTCTACATGCCGTGTCGCCACCGTTACCGCAGCCAGTTCTGATTGATAGCTACACTCTCCCAAAACGGATTCTAGACCACACACATTACCTCACTCCGCCCAGTCAATAGCTCCTCCTCTTTCTAGAACTCCTCCCCGTGCCCACACTGCTACGCTCCGCCACTCCGAGGTCCCTCAGTTGTGTAGCGGCTTTGATATCGGGAACTTTTTCACGGCTACATTGGCCTTTTGTGTATCTATCTATGGTGGAGTCAATGGTGCCATTGTGGAGTGATAGGTGATAAGGTGCAATGCCCACGGACTTAATGTTTAATAAGGGCAATAAGGGCAAAGGCCAGCGGGCCACTGACTTTTCGATTGCGGCCATTATGGCCAAAGACTCAAATGCGTCGGATACTTTTATATGTGCCGAACGAGAACATTACGGAGATGAAGGTCAGTTTATTTTCTGGATAACTTTTTCCATAATAGTACCATAATAAAGTGAACTTTTGCATGCATCAAATCATGTTTCCACTGCTTCCGTCCATTGAACACAGCTTATAAAACTCTTCCCGCTTTCCTTTAAACGCCCAGTCGCCTAAAGAATTGCGGTAAGAAGTTTGCAGGTAAGTTTGCGGAAAGTTTCATGATCTTTCTAGCTCAGAAGGAAACTAAACATTCACCTCTTATTCGTCTTTAATGGGTTCTACCGCAGCCGAAACTCAACTTTCTTCAACAACTTCCAAAACTGAGTTCTGATAATTAATGTCAATTTCGACTAAACCTCTAATTCAATTTAAAACCCCAGTTAACTCTCCTAGAAGCCCTTAAACTACAAAAAGGAATGCCTAATTAGACAATTACTTCAAATAGCAAAATTTGCAAGCATTTTCCATATTCCATCACGGCTGATGGTCACTAGGTTGGTTCTCAGAACTTCTTGGTAACTAACAAAACACTTTAGCGCTGAGTTCCTAAATATCTGGGAGGCAAAGACAAGGACTTGACAAGATAGTTAATTCTTGACCTAACGGAGTCGTTGTTATTGTTGTTGAGTTAGTGGTGAGTTGCAAGGTAGTAAATAACAACGACTCCGTTAGGTCAAGAATCAACTGCCTTGTCTTTGCCTCCCAAATATCTCGCAACTCATCGCTAAAGTGTTTCGTTAGTGGCCGGTTGCCACTGTGCGAATCTAAGGGTAGAAGCAATTTAGTGAAATTTCACCTCAATACAATTATATTTGATTCCTGTTAATAAATATACGAGTTTTTTTATACTTGCAGATAAAACGCATATTCACCACATACACCAGAAGATTTATCGTCGAATTTTCTGTGTTCTTGATATTTTCTTAAGTGTGTTTCGGATGCTGACCAAATTACGTACATAATCCAAGTGCGATGGTTCGGAATGTTATTCAGAAATTGATTATTTCAAATTTCCACGGACAAGTTGATGTAAATATAAAGCAATTATGTTTTTGTTCTACCCAAAGAGTCGGGCTCATATTTAAAAAAATACAACTTTTAAATGATTTTCGATGATTTTTATAAAGTAAAATAAAAAACTTGAAATATGGTCACTTTCACTACGGGCCACGTCATCCAAACAACTAAAAACGATTTTGTTTATTAATGGGAAAATTCTAAGAATCAATTTTTATAATATTAATGTCCTCAATTTATTCGAACTTGTATTCATCCAACTTTTGCACCTTTATTTATGTCCATTCCTTCCTATTTTTTGTTGTTCAATTTTTATTGACGCACTAACGCAAATGTTATTTAGGCAATTTTTACCTACTGAAGTTATAAAGTCGATTAACGAAATTATTAATAGAAATATTTATTTTCTCGAAGGAACTTTCATTCATATGCTGAAATATTTTGTAAAAGTCTTATAGAACTGAAGAGAAACTACCGAAAGCTGACTTCATTTTATTTGATTTAATTTGAGTGTGATTATGATGCAAAAACTTCAATTCGTTTGTAAAAGTATTAATTTTATTCAAATGTTCAACATTAAACAATTGCGCTTATGTTTATCAATAATGAGCAAATGTAATACTTTAAGTATTTCAGAAATCTTAAGTGATAAACAGTCGCTGAAATGAACCACTTTATGCCAAATGTATAGCATATTTTTGTAAGTAGTTTTTCAATCTAATGGAACATAAGTACAATTTACATATTTTACGCAAATTGGGTTGTAAAATTCAAATTAAAATTCGGCAGATTTATGGAGTTAGATAATTTAGGATTTACAAATAAAAATAGTGAAAGTTACAAATAATATAGGAGAAGTTTAATAACGGCATCAAGTAATAATAGTGACAAACTCAATTTTACACCGTAAATTTTGCGGAATCTAGGCTTCGTAACTCCAACATTTAGAAAGTTTAACATTCCTAAAAATATACCTGCCTTTGGGTTCAAATTTCAAAGCTTAACACCTCTCTTACGTTTTGATATTTTTTAAGCCAACCTTAAAAATACTGCTTTTGCCTCGTGACTTTAAGACAAATAAATTTCTTGTAATAAGATTTTTTGCGATTCGCCCAGCTATTCGTTAAAGCCAAAACGTAGTCGCTTAGTTAAATCGATATCGATTGAATTGAAGAAAATAGAAAAGGGCGCAGTTGTGCTGTTTGGTTTTAAATATGCCAATCCTAATCTCCTTTTTAAAGCACAGTAATAAAACTTTAGCAGACACTAAAAACAAGCAGACTATTTCCTTAGAAAGCGTGTAAAACTTTTGTCGGCAATTTTTACATTTTGATGGTCCGCGTGTTGATTTTTCAAGTTCTCCAGAAAATTGCTTTTTTCAAACAATTTTACAACTGCAAACAACAACTAGCGTTGAAATGAAATGACCACAACAAATGGAGTTGGAAAGCGAAAGCAATTGGCCACCCAAGCTGACAGATTTTATGCCTATTGATTGATTGATTTACTGGCCTGTATCCACGATTAGTTTCCTTCTGAATTTCGGTTTTTAAAACTTTCAGAAACGGGTGGAGGGAACTTTGGGGTGTTTAAAACTTACCAAAATGTGATATTAATTAGCAATCTTAACAATTTGGCTTAGCAGTAAATGAACATATTTCTCGCGCATTTTAACGGGTGTAATTACGGCTGAAGTTTGATTTTTATCAAATTTTAGATTCTCTTGAAAATAATCTGGTGTCGTTAAATCTGGTATTTTGAGAGGCCGATGCACTATGACTGCACGCCCCAGTTGGCAAATCTGAAACGATTTTAACTCACTTAAAGTGCCGCCAAAAAAAATTACATTTGCTCCCATTGTTTCCACACCGTGTAGTTATATTGATCATTACCCTTGATATTATATGTTCCCTGAAGTTTCCCGATAGGATTTCCTTAAAATTGTGATTGTTCTAGATTCAACATACGAAAATAAACGTGAGTATCCAGAAGACGACAATGTGGATATTGATGTGGAGGAATGTTCCGATGTGGAATCATCACGACCAACCGATATTAAAAGCCGGGAACGTTCACCGACCGAGTCCGATTGTGGATCAGAACCTGCTGATCTGGATCAGGAACCAGCCGACATTGCGCCGGTAGCATCTCCTGTGCCCAAAAAATCAAAGATTCTTTGCAACTGTGAAGAACTTCTAGCCGTCGATTGTAACTTAGAAACCAAAGAGTTGTGGGATAAATTTCACGATTTGGGCACCGAAATGATAATCACCAAGACTGGACGGTAAGTGGAAATTTCACTTTGTAAACTTGGGTTTTTTTCTTCTCGCTGAGAGCCACAGCTTTAGCCATCATGCCCATAAAGCAAATTTAAAATGGAATCAAAAAGGCTGATCGAGCTTAATAAAATAAACACTGTTCCCCCTTGAGAATTTTGGACTATTTTCGTATCGTGTTTATAACCGCGCACATCACGATAGTTGTTTTTTAATGACTCTGCGTATACGCAATAAGTAGAAGCAAAGAACAGTGATTTTTGTACGTTTTTATCGTAATAGAATCGACATTTTTCGGGATTTTCTGCACTGCCTTTTACACGTGTTTGATACATTGAAGTTATATACAAAATCCAAAAATCTGGAGTGGTTTCGTTCTTAGATATTTCAGTAAGCATTTGTAAATATATTTAAGCAAATGATTGGATCTCTAGCTAATGACTTCCTACTCAAAGCTTCGCTTTCCTTTGCCGGAATAGCGCTGAAAACGAAAAAGTGGTGATCACTTTTGGGAATGCCTGGTGCAGATGAAAGCAAAACGTTAGGAAACCGTAATTTCCATATCCAGATCCAAATAAAAATAATGTTGAATTTGGGTCATAAATCTTTCTCCATTATGAGCAAATTAACGTCACAACAATAGATTAATAACCGCATGAAAACGACTCATAACTTAATTAAGCCATTAAGGATTTAACCCAGTCAGATTCATTAAAATAATATCGTCCCTTCGGATGGGAAAGTTTAGGATTGAATTTTCCATAAATAATAACCTGGGCGGTTAATTTTCGTTATTTCGAGTGGTTGTAGCCCATTAATCGTGCTGTAGTACCATTATCGTCCCATATAGGCAAATTATGATCTCTATGCGTAAATAAATTATTAAGGGTTTTAATTAGGTAAAAGCTGGTTTGATTTACGTTAATAGGACTCAGCGTTGCCATATTCGTTCTATTATTACGCTAACAACCGATTGATATCTAAACATTTATATATGCGGGAAGGCTTGTTAGGCGAACGCCATCCACCATTTCGTAGATACAGAAATAAATGCAACTGAATGCCATTGTTATTGAATTTAATCTATTCCGATGCGATTCGGTCTTCTAAAGCTCAAATCCCACTTAATTGAAATAGCATCAAGTGCGTTTATTCCCCAATTTTTCCAGCTACGTTGTAATAGGGTTGTTGGAGCAGTTTTACTCCAGCGGTTACACTGATTTAGAAGCTTTTCCCTTCCTAATTAAGTACATCTATTTAGGGAGCGAGATTTCACTTGGAAAGCAGRGCCGGAGCTTACGTTTTARTTCGCAACGCGCAACTACCTTTAATTATATTTTGGGAAACTATTTTCAAAGTTTYCATTTATTTATCGGTGTGTTCAAAATAACAAGTGATGTTAAGGTGATTATGTATAATTTTTCAAYTTTTTTCAATGCAAAACYAGCAGCTTYGGGCAATACTTCGGGGAAAATTTTAAAATCGCTTAATGGTTAAACTTATGGCAATATTGACTGAGACGAAGGTCCCTTGAAAATTATYTAAATTTRTATTCGTGCTAATTTTTAAGTMTTGAGGTTAAATTATTAAATCGCAAGCATTTTCAAGCYAAAGAGATCCTCTCACTTCAYATCGCTAAGATAGACCGTTCTCGAGAAAAATGAGTTTCTATAAATAAATGCACCCACAACGCCTATAAAAACTAAYKTTCCTGGAAAATGGTSCATGCTAGTCMAATGGAAGAAAAGCGCCCTTTTSCTTARAAATSCTWGCGATTCACTAATTTGATTACGGAAATTTTAAKATTTTACAAATGMAAAACTTGCTTGCAATTCACGAATTTTATCTCAAAAGTTTATAAATTTACGAACCAAAAATATGATACAAAATTTACGCAGGAAACCACTCGTGTATGTGAAGCCCCTGACTAAAATCCGCTATTGTCCACGCAAAAAAAATTCTTCCCATCCCATCTGTAGCAGAATCCCAAAATTCACGCCTTTAACTCAAATTTGGAAGATTTCAACTGAATTTTAGGAAACTGCTGAATTCGTCTTCTTTTACTAAGTTTTATCTTGCTTTTCAAGACAARAAAAATGTGGCACTTATTTTATGTGGGTTTCACTGCTGATGRGTTATGAAAGAAAAAAAATTATAAAAGTTTTTCTTCTGAATTCCACCCAGTTTTGCAGCAATTTTGTCTAAAAATTTCATTATTGTGATTTTGTAAATGAACATTTTCGGTTGCGTTCTTTTAAATTTTGTATTTGTATTTGTAATTTGTATTGTGTTGTATTTTGAATTTTGTACAATATTGTTTTTTTGCGAAGTGATTTCCTTCAATATTCGTGTGAAGTTTGATCAGAAAACTCTTGATTTTAACTTTAACCTGAGAAAAGCATGAGAGCTTCACCAGCTTAATGTCGCTGTAATTAACTGTTTGAAAAGTGATGTAGTTTCTCACATCATGTCTACTTCAATTTTTTCAATTCTGATAAGAAAGCATGAAGTTTAAATCATCTTCGAGAATCTTGAACTTTCAATAGAAACACTCGCTGTTTTTCTTTGCTGCAAGCTGCTCTTTGCTTAACCAAGGCGCACATTTTCAGAATATGTTATCCGGCGTCCAGTCCGCTCCTGCTCCACCATTTGTGGGACATTTTCCAGTATATCTAAAGCTCAGATGCTCTAATGCTTTCTCCTGGATTTATCCAGTTCAGTTCATTGATTTTCCCCCTTCTAAAGCCGCACCAAATTGCCTTTAGCGTGCCCTTCCGGTTTCTCCACCAGCTCTCTTGCCTTTTCTTGGACAGATATTTATGGTCAAGGTGAATACCGAGACGAATAAGGCTAATTTCATTCAATTAAATCTATTTGTGTGACCAGCTGCCTTGACTGTTGTGTGCAAAATCCGTTTTATCGGTTCTTGACACCAGAAGAACCCTCTTGGTTGTGTCAAATTGTTCATTCTGGTTTTGCACCTTGAAGATTTAAGAGCAAATGTAAAAAATCAGCAATGTTTCTGCTTGAAACGGTTTGTTTTCTCCAGAACCAGCAACTAAAAGAAAATTTGTTGTGTCAAAATTTCGATTAGGTTTCGCACCTTGAAGATTTTAGCGCAAATGTAAAAATCATCAATTTTCCTGCTTCAAACAGTTTGCTTCCTCCAGATAGAGTAGCTAAAAGAAATTTGGCAAATCGACTTCAAAGCAATAAAAATGTATTCCCAGAATAAAGAAACACCATAACACTTAATCAAATTGTAACCGCACGTAGCGAATCTCCCAATTGATTTGCAACGTGGATTGGGGGCGACTCGAATAACCGAACGGAGGGTGTGAAAATCGCCCTGAAATTGCGCATATCAAATATGCATTATGTTCCATGTATACAATCAATAATTACCGGTTAAATCCGAAATCGAGATGTAACTAAAGCGGCAGGACGAAGGGTGAATGTTGACTTCCCTCTTATTTCCCATGTTACATCCCCCAATTGTTATCCAATCTAATTTGGGGTTTTATTGCCTTCCTTCCAGATCGGGCAAGGGGCGTTCGAGTGATTTTCGGGATTTTTCCTAATCATTGCCGGTGATTTATTTAGTAGTCTTTGATTGATTTGGATGAACTAAATTATTTGCAAGATTAAATGCTGTAAATTGATTCATACCCAGCAACCAGAGAAAAATCAAATCAACTGTTCAGGGGAAATAAAATAAAAAATGGTTTATTCTGCCCTAGTTGATAATACTTAAAGACTGTTGGGTTTCAAAGTCACATGGTTTTTTTCAGCTTTTGGAAGCACAAGACAATTTTGCAAACTGCTCTATTTCCTCATAATTTTTGTCAGCAGGAAATCTGCCTATTTTCTGCAATTGCTGGCCAAACTACGGAAAAGCGCTTAAAAACTAACTAACTATTTAATTTAAATATTCAACATTCAACGGTTTTTTTGAGTAGCAGGCTACAGATCACTTCAGCGCCTCATAAATCGCAAATTTTTGAAAATATTCTTCCTACTTTTAACCAAGCATCCAGCTTTAAAGAACGACTGCTCCTTACACTGAAATTCAAAAACAAACTCGAAATGTAACAAATTTTTCACTGTGTGCTTTAGATTTTTCCACAAAATCATCTCGAATTATTTAAGCTCCATGTAAACTAGCATAAAAGCCACAACACCTGCATGAGTATCATTAAATTTCGGTAGATGCTAATCTGACCCACGTCATATATCATAAGCATAACACTTGTGTTGGCCTTTTTTCCAACTCTTTATAGACCAGGGGCCAAATGTTAGCTTTTAGTCAATCGATGCGGAAGAAACTGTTGGCTCGAATTGCCTTCTAACATCTATTAGAGCTTTGAAGAAATGTTTGATGTGGCTGAAAGATTTTTTGTAAGAAGTTGCTTCGTTTAATGAGGCTGAAGAACTGGAAGAATCGAGATTAGATCAGACCAAGGAGTCGAACGAAAATTATTCAGAAGACTAAGAAAACGTATTGAAATAGTTGTTTATAATCCAAGCACTGTTTTGAAATTTGATACAGTTTGTACTTTAAAATTAAAAATTAAAATTAGGAATAGAGTTTGTGTTTGAAAGCAAAAGCTTGAGGGCTAGCAAATTACCACCAGCTGAGATTTTTAGGAAGTTGTACTTTATTTCCATTTTGATAAAATAATTGAGGGAAAAGAAAACTGTTTTATCTATACAAAGAGATTTTGTATAGACACTTTTGTGAGTCTTTTAATTGAGAACGAAAATTTTTTATCTACAGATTAAAAATGAATCGTTTGATCCTATAGAAAGTTGATTATTTGAAGGGTTTTTAACTTTCCAGCCCATAAACCAAAAAGGCTCGTTTGTGAACAGCATTTTTGACATACCGGATATTTTACGTCCCGAACAAAAGGTATCCAGTTGCACAATGACTATCGCATCAGGACAATATAATAATATAATATATAATCGTGTAAGGGCAATATTTCAAAACTCAGTAGCGACAGAA